ACTGAGCAAAACTATCACTGAAAAATAAGGCCAAAATATATTTCAGATTTAAAGAAGAAAGTTTATCATTAACAATCCTTTATTAAAAGAACTTCAAAGGTGTTCATTGAGTAAGTGGGAAATGACCCCCAAAGGAAAGTCTGAGAAGGAAGAAGAAATGGTTAAAAAATAATAATGTGAAAACCATTTGGCTGATTCTAGCTTTATTCGAGGGAGGAGGCAAGCTTAGAGTCCCCCTACTCCTCCACCATCCACAGTGTGTCTGATTGTAAACAACCTGGGCTTAAAGCAGCAGCAGCAGAAGAATTCATAATAGCATTTTGGCCAGACAGGAATAGAAGGTAGAGATGTTTTTCTCAGGATGGACTGTCCTCCACGTCCACTTTGGAGACCAGTAGTGTGGACTATACATTGATAGCTGTTCAGCTACAGCAGAGAGCAATCCTTGCTATAACCAATTCAGAATTTTTCTTAGAAAGATGAGCCATACCATAAAGGATTTATGAGTCGGGGATAAGGGGGAAAGAGCAGGGCACTCCAGACAGTGAAAACAGCAAAAGTTCAAAATACAGATGAACACAGAATAGTCTGTTCTTACTCTAATAATGTATTTTATATCATTTCATATAGTCTTTTCAAATTTCTAAGACAAAAACAGAACAAACCAAAACAGCACCTCCAAGAAGCAATAGCACGAGTATTAGCAACAGTGGAAGATGTCAGAGATTACGACCTTGGGCAGGTCACTTAACTTTCTGAAGGCGTATGCCTCTGTTGTAGTATGCAATACTTATCCTTCCGAGTATCACTAAGATATTTTGATGATAAATGAAAAAACTCAAAAGGGGAATGTTTCAGTCATGATGTCTTACATATGACTGATTACCAGTCACTGTGCTGGGTACTGGGGATACAGAATAAAGGGGACAAAGTAAGTCAGCGATCAGAGAGCCCTGTGATAAGTATGGTGACCTCTGAGGAGTGCACAGGGGAGTGAGCAACCCAAAGGTAGTAGCAAAGGCATGCTTCTCTCCTGCCTTTTCACATCATTAACAATGATTCCCATAGGACAAACTACCGATGGTCACCGCAGACACACTAAGCACTTGGGATAGTCATCACAGTGAGTTTCAGATCTATCAAAACAATCACCTTCAAGAGTTTTACTATTAAAAGATCCAAAATAAATTTAACCAAAACATCCCAAGAAGGAGTCAAATCAATTTTCTTCATACTAATGAAAATTCACCACAGAAGGCAAGTCTGGGCATTTTGGATCTATAAAAATCAGTATAATCAGAGTTTTCCTAAAACATGGGAAAACAATTTCTCTTGCTTCATTTAAAAGCACCTAAGAGTAATGGTACTATATTATCTACATTCATGCTGGAACTATCCAAGTGTAACTTAAGAGAAGAAAAAAAATATTTCAAATGCCCATTCTTTTTCTGGACGCTTTACAACATAAAATCAAACACATTTTACATAAATTAATTCTATGATCGGTGACATATCTTTCCTACTTTTTCTTTTCCTTAAAAAAAATATTTTATTAGTTTTGACAGAGAAAGAGTGCATGAGAGGGCAGAAGCAGGGGGAGCAGGCTCCCTGCTGAGCAGGGAGCAGATGTGGGACTTGATCCCAAGACCCTGGGGTCATGACCTGAGCTGCAGGCAGACGCTTAACCAACTGAGCCACCCAGGCGCCCCTTTTCTACTTTCTCTACTTCACTATGGAGTATTTAGTGCATTAAAAGTTCATCACTGGTTGTTCGAGGTATTTGGCCAATTCAGGCCTATCAATGCACAAATCCTTAATCTAAGAAAATAACTCCTAAAAAAGTGCACACAGAATGTTCTGGGAAAAAATAAGGCAATTCTTTCTCATTCTACTACATACCTATAGTAGCAATAGGAGATCAGTGCTGTTAACACTCCTTTTTTGAATTTCTTAATTTATCCTCAGCACACACTAGTCACATATATAGGGTAGATATTACATACTCCCAAGAACACAAAGTCCAAATACATTCACATATGACTAAACAAAATTTCATATTAACTGCAAATGACAATAAAATACAAGGATGGTTTTTAAAATTGCCACATCTGTTTAAATTAAAACATTTCTAGCAGTGGTAGAATGTTTTTAGTTATTTCCTTAATATTCCAAAGTACTTGAAGTCTTTATGGTCATATGAATTTAAATTTTCTCAACTATTTTAAAAAATATGTCACTTTGGGCACCTGGGTGGCTCAGTTGGTTAAGCAACTGTCTTCAGCTGAGGTCATGATCCTGGAGTCCCAGGATCAAGTCCTGCATCGGGCTCCCAGTTCCATGGGGAGTCTGCTTCTCCCTCTGACCTTCTCCCCTCTCATGCTTTCTCTCTCTCTCTCAAAAAAATAAATAATTAAATATAAAAAAAATATGTCACTTTAACTGAAAATGACTACAAACAAATGTATGTTTTGCTTGCCATACTGGCATCAATATATTAGCTAACAAGCAGATTTGTTCTCACTGATAAGAGGTAAGAATGCATTATGACATTTACTACTAACTAGAGAATAGAGGGAGACACCAACAATGATTTAACAGCCATCTCTGGTGGTCCCTTTGATAAACGCCTACAGCACTTACAAACCAATTTAGCCTTATTTACACAGTTTTCTTCTGTACACTATTTGTTTGGGATTATATTCACTTTTCCTGTAAGCTCCTTGAGGGGAGAGGCCTTATCTTTAATGCATCTGTATCCCAACCAGCTCAAAAACAAAGCTGGGCGCACATTTACTGATAAATTAACAGCCACAGTGTAATAGACATTTTCCACAACTTGGGAGATGTTAGGCAATTAGGAGAAAATTAGAATTGGATAAAGTCAGCTACATGGAGGAATAGTCAGGTACAACACAAGGACAGGGGACAAGACCATAAAAGTCACTTTGAAATAACATGTTCGGGACCAGAGCAAATGACTTTATACAGCATAATTACTTTCAGAAGGTACAACAACATTTATCACACGATTATTGCTTAGCTTAAAAATCCACTGGGGTGGGGGTAGGTGGGTCTTACATGTGATGCTGCATTTTGTACTATTCTTTGATGCATGTTCCTATAATGCTTTCATATCCTTGAAAAGTACCTTATTCATGCAAGTATGGAAAGAGCTATACTATTCAAAATCCAAAAGAAAATAAAAACAATGTATTTTTCCACCCATTCTAGGTTAACACACAGCATGTGGCTAATAAAAACAGAGGTCATCGTCTGTTACTTTTCATTCACTGAAACGACACACTGAATGACAGGAATCTTTTTAGAGTTCCTGTTAGAAGCATTCAGTTTCAAAACTTGACTTTAGGATCACCTTTAACCAAATTTTTCATCTTTTCCCCTGACCTTCCTTTAATCTCCCAATTAAATTATGCATCAATTCTATTTTTTTAAAACGCCGGTTACAACGCAAAATGAAGTTACTATCATTTCTGCGAGCAGCAGCCTCACACTGTTTACCATTTTCAATGCACGATACTAGGGAGGACAAAAGCACACTCTGAAATACCTTCTCAGCTTTTTCAAACAATAGTCTCTTACTAGAATTTCTTCTCCTTTCACGTAATTCTATTAAGTTTCTGTGCTCCCCTAGTCTCCTAAGATTAAAGAATCTGTTTATCCCAGCCGCCAACACTTCAGAGGTGAGCTCCTATCTTTTCTCTCATCCCTTTTGTGTAAGAACGCCAAAGAGCTCATATTTTATTTTACCATCCTTATGACCCAGGGCTTGGTACTCCAAGACTGGAGTCTGAGTTAACTAGACACCTAGACAACAGCCCAGAGAGATCTGGGCAGCCCACTAAACTTGGTACCCTCCAGCCCCTTAAAAGCCAGTCAGAAAACTAGCCAAGGCCCTATTTACAAGTCTTGAAGGTTAAACACACACACAACCAAAACAAAACAAAAAAAAAAAACAAAAAAAAAACAAAAACGAGGAAAAAGCCCCAAAACAAAACCCATTTCCACAAAGAAATACACACACACACACACACACACACACAATTGTACTCTTTCAGAAGGTGGGAATACAAATTGATCGGGTCCTTTTGGTTTTCAAGAGTTTAAACACCAGGGACATCCGAATCCGGATAAAAACTCCTGAGGGCAATTTGATCAAAGACACAGAAAATCCTTCCTTCAAAGAAATGCACCGTGTGACACTCCAAGAAGGAGGAGAGATATTTAAAGTAAAACCTGCCCTGAATTATCACCACTGACTTGAGGAAGAGAATGAAAAGCCGCTGGCTTCCTCCGGCTTTTCAACGTTTTGCTGTAACCCCAGGGCCACAGAGGCTGTCCGGGAAATTCTTGTACTCATCCCTCCGGAGGAGTATCTCCGCAGCAAGAACTCATCCACACAAACACACACATCCATCTCTACTACCACTGCCCCTTCCGTTCCGACCTTCCCGTTGCGGTGCCCACGACCCAAAATGGGACACAGTGTCACAAAAAGCCAAGTCATGGGGCAATGCAGGGGGGTGGGGGTGCAGAGGGCTGAAAGGGCCAGAAGAGCGAGGGGGGAAGAGGTAGTCCGCCGGCTCGCCCGCGACCGTAGAGCGAACCCCCGGGTGGGGACGCGGCATGCCGAGGGCCAAATACAGAAATCGGGGATGCCCACTCTGCCCTCGCCGCTGCCTCCCTGCCCTCCATGCGCCCATCCTCTCCGGGAGGACCACCCCGAGGACAGGGCTCCCCGTACAGCCCCCGCCCTCGCCCTGCAGGGGAAAGCGGCGAAATGGGGCTGCAATGAAAAAGGGGGCTGAGCGGCGGGCGAGGGGCACGCCGGCTCCAGGTGGAGACCGTGCCGCGGCGGCTGCTCGGGGGATCGAGGAGAGGGGGGTGGGTGGGGAGGGGGGCGGCGGCCCGGCGGAGGGTGAAGCGGGGGTCGGCCCAGGGTCTCGCCCCTGCCGCTCCCGGGGGAGGCTCGGGTTACTCACGTTCTCCGTGTCCCGCTCGTTCACCGTCGGCAATGGCGTCCGGGCCGACATTTTGTGCGGGCGGCGGGGTCGGGCCGGGGTCTCGCCGGCCGGGCTGGGGTGCGGGCCCGGGGGCGAGCGGAAGGGGGTGCGGGCGCGGGGCCGGGCCGGGCCGAGCGGCTCCCGCAGGCCGCGGGGCGGTGCAACAAGCGGCCCCGGCGGGGCGAGGGGGAGGAGGACGCGGAGGAAGGGGAGGGGGAGCCGCTTCCCGCGGCGGCGCCGGCGGGGGACGCGGGCAGGAGCGAGGGCGGGCTCCGGGCGAGGGCGGTTGCCCGGCGCGGGCCGGGCGGCGAGGCCGGCGGGATGCGGGCCGGGCCCCGCTAGGCTGCCCGGGCCATGGCTGGAGGTGAGCTCGCCCCGCAAATCACTGCCCGGCTCGTCCCGGCGAGCGCGGCTCGGGCCCGGGAGCCGCGGCCCTGACAGCACCGCCCGCGCCGCGCGCCGCGCCCCGCCTCAGGTGTGCGACGCCGCCCGGCCGAGCCGCAGCCACGCGCCCGGGGCCCAGCGGCGGCG